ATAGAAAGTCCATTAAAACTTTTTGCACAGATGACGGCAAATAAAACCAAGGATATTTTTCTACAAAGATTTCAGCTATTTCGTTTGCATATGAGTTGAATAAATTTGTATTGACTTGGTGTCCGCTAGCCATCACCCTTAAGATCACACTGAATCGGTATATGAGTTCTTCACAAACTCCAGTAATGCCAGCAACCAAACAGTGGCTCATCAAGCCATTTCTGTTTTTTTTTTCTCGAAATAAGTTATGTTGTAATGACATGATTTCCAATTTTCTGTAAGTCGGCTCATAAAACTAGAGAATTTTCTAGTAATCCTTTCAGATTCTATTTCAGAAAGCTGGCGGTTCTTAAATATAGTATCAAATGCCAATTCTTTTAAAACGAGAGCTCTCTTTACGGGATCATTTTCGCTAATCCAAGTCGGTCTTACTAAAAAGTGCAACAGACTTCACAGTTGGTCGAAGTTGGATTTAATTTTAAAAAATTAATGACACAAAGACTCACACGTTTCATAAATGCTAAAATCAGGTTGAGCAAAAGTGAACAAGTTAATTATAGTCAAAATATGCTAGTATCAAGCATAATGCCATACCTGGTAAAATAACAAACTTCAAACACTCTTTAAAAAAAAAAAAAAAAAACATAAAAATACAGGTCACAAACACATTGTTTTTATTTATAACATACCTTTTCCTAAAGTTAACAGAAGTTGTTGAATCAATTTGTTTTACTTTGTTTCAATTAAAGGTTAATTGGCAAACACGAAACCGTTACGACAAATATTTGCAGCCGGATATTGTCAGTTAAAAAAAAATAAAAATACTGTATTTAAATATTTAAAAATGTGAGTTTTGTCCCACTAGAAAAATCATCTGACCCACTGTGCTGCGGTGACATAAGCCATGTCAGAATTATCTAAGCCTGCGCAACGTGGTTTTGTGAGGGGCTGAGCGACCAGACGCATCCGGCTTCAATCTCTGATAAACCTGGGCGTGCGACGACTGCAAAATTTTGGACAAAGACGGGTCAAGGTCCATGAGCTCCGGCGTGTTTCCTCGAGCCCCCTCTGGCTTCGTGGAGCAGAGTGCACCTGTGGCCGGGTTTTTCCCGGCACTTCTCTGTGAGTTAGCTTGTGAAGGGGCCTGTTGGCGCTCCTGCACTTTTGGATATTGTCTTCGGTCCCTATCCTCCTGACTTCTTGCAAACGTAGAGTGTATCGTTCGTGGTTGGACTCCACCTCTTGCGCCAAAGCGAGCGCTGATGGCATGTCTTTCGGCTTTGCCGCGAATAGCACATCTGTGAGGTTGCGCCTGAGTCCTGAGACGAAAACGCGCAAGGCGTCGTCACGGAACTTCTCACACCGGAGATCGTACGACATAGTGGCCTCATTGGTAAGCTGAGCTTTTTTTTCAACGTCATCATAATACTGTAAGAGCGTAAGGATTCGCTGTCTGAGGGTGCCTTGCTCTTGTTCGACAACGTGTATCGGCCGTTTGTCACTGTATGTGAAATCGAGTCGATTTATAATCGCGTCGAAATTTAATACAATTCCAAAAGAGGAAAGGTCGGCATCAGCGGGGTCTTTAATTTTGCTATTTTGGTAGCTCCTGAACATGTAAAACGCGGCTGTCTACAGCCTGTTCCTGTAATGCCTTTATGACAGCCGTAATCCGCGTCGAAAGACATTTTAAAAGAAAACTCGAGACGGCTGTGGAGCTAACGAATCGAAGTTTAAATGGAGTGTCCAAACATTACACGAAAGTGAAAATAAAATGCACACAATGAAATATAAATCGGAAAGTCATCCAACACTTGTGACAGTGTCCAAATAATACAGGAGATAAATCGCGAAGTCAATCAATATTTGAAAGTTAATTTTTTCTCAGCGCATCGGCTGGGATATTTTAAATTTTATAATAATAACACGAATTTACACGAAGTTACTATAAATTACAAAAACATGAAATATAGATTGTTGCAGTTTAATGTGTTTTATTAAAATCACGAATATATTTAAATGTTCAAATATATTATATTAACGGCATTATTATTATAAACGGCAGACTTACTGAAAACCTAGTGGAAATCCTGAAAAGTACTTCTGAATTGTTCTTCACACAACTTTTGCAAAAGTGACAGAATTGTCTTTGAATATGTCAATTCGTCTACTGAATAAATTATTTGTAGTGTATTATTAATCGATTGTCTTTGAATATGTCAATTCGTCTACTGAATAAATTATTTGTAGTGTATTTTTAAACGATACTTATACTTTTTCGCAACTAAAACAATTTATAACTTCTCTTTGGCAGATGCCTTGTATATACTCGAACAACCCATTCAAGGAGGGTTAGTGTTAGATAGTCAGGGCTTATATATACAGCATATACAGCTTATAATTTGTAAAACATTATTCTATTACATTCTCTGTAATAAAATTTGTTTGTGATTCTGAGGGCTCGGGCCACCAAATATATTCACCGCTTTTTATGCGGCAACGAACTTAACAATATGAATTAACAAATGATCTTAGAAAGATTAGAATATTATCTTGGGATGATGACAACGCCATACTGTTATCTATACACATTGTTGCCGTTCCGCATATAATTGATGACAGTATTATAGTCTTAGAAATTTGAATCTGCAATCTGAAAACAGATTGTAGTTGGCTAGTACATAGCATTAAGATATATTACAATTTTCCCGAAAATGAGCTCCGATTATATTGTGTACTTGGCATTATTCTAACCGTAAGAGTATACTAGATTCGGTGGAAAGTATGTAACAGGTAGAAAGATACGTTTTCTACAAGGTCGGAAGTATATATATTTTTATCAGAAGGGATCACTGGCCGAGTCGATCTGGACATGTCCCTCTTTTCGTCCGTCCATATGAACGCAGTGAGATTAGACATTCCAACGCCCAAACTCGTTCAAAACTGTCATGCCGACACTTTAAAAAATATTCCGATGTTTGTATTTTTTTATCTTGCCAATTTCTATTGGTATTATAGTCGAGGATATCGACTTTAGCGTTCTCTCTTGTTTATATTGTCTATTATTTCTAGTTTTAAAAAGGGGACGAACCAAATACTTTCCATACAACCTGCGGATCCTAATTAAAATATTTTTAAAGCTTATTAAAATTCGTCTCACCACATTTGTATTCGAAAATTTGGAGTTAAAAGGTGCACCTTACCTCGTTAAAGTGAAATGGTCGAGAAGAATATAAACGATTAAAAATGCTTCAACAACAAGATGTAACGAGTATAAGGTGGCGTTTTTGACTATTAATCATATATCTACCAATGCCGAGTCTATCCAAAGACGTCTTTACCCAGTTTTTTTTATTTTACCCCTGACTATATAAAAAGGCGATGAGAAAATACATTTTTTCACGTTAGATTAGAATTTAACTATAATATATTCTAATTTTATGTATTTATTTTTTAAGCTTTCTCAATTTCGGAATCTTTTGCAAAACTGCATTAGTCATTGCCTATACATAAATAAATCATAAATATTGGACTTGATTGAAGAAATGCACACTAATATGACATCAGATCGCGGTGGAGGAGGAGGCGGTTCTTGGAGACTACCACCGGATGAAACTTTGCAGGTGCAAGATCCAAAGCAAAAAGATCATGATTTCGATTTGGACGAAGGTCACAATTGGCGCAGTATAATCTTTTCATTACTTGTTATTAGCTTTGTTGTAGCTGGAATCGTCACAGCTATATATTTATTAGGGTAAGTATTTATTATTCACTTATTTGGTTATGTAAGTACGCGTATTCGCTGTAGAAAGCAAGCTTATTCATTCCTTTAGATGGTTTTGATGGTTTCGGATGACCAGAGCCTAAAACCAAGAAACCAACGCTTAAGTAAAGTCGCCGTTTTAATTTTCTTTGACAATAAATATATATTTATAAAGTTTCTCGTAGGGTAAAAGCAAAGACACTAGAATAATAAGATGCGTAACGCCATACGATTTTTTTGCAGACGATTTTTTCGTGCTGGCTCTAGAGCTGGCTCCATGCTCTCTCGAATTTTTATTCAAGAGCCAGAGAGACAGCACTCTAGAGCAAGCAGCTCTCTTGTACGCATGCAGCGACAACCGATCACTGTATGTTTACACACGTATGCTCATATATTGTAAATTTGACAAAATATGCCCTTCACTTCAGAATTTTATGGACTTTCAAACTATATTATTCGTACTCGATTGCCACCAAGTAAAAAACTCTAATTTTGCATAGCCTTAACATGATTATTATTTAAATAAATCATAGAAATAGTAATAGGTGAATAAATTTACATAATAATACCTAATTAATTTCATAAATGACTTCATACCAGAAAATATGTCGTCAGAGTATGCAGCTCGCGAGGTGGAAAATATATTTGAAGTTAGTGATTCTTAATTGCGTTGGTCCTGCCTCAAGAATTCAATTTTGCAATATACAGGTTGCATATAAAGTTTTAACTATTTAGTATATTTATTAGTACAAATTACAAGTAAAAAAAAATATACATACTTATGTAAATGTTCAATTTTAAGTATTTGAAATGCAAATATTACTTTGTTGAATGTTTTTCGTATAATTTAATTTAATATTTTTAAAAACCTCTCAATTTTGGGTGGGAAAAAAGGCGCGCCAAATTAATGGTTTCTTCTTTTAGTTCCTCTTAATCCGTTTGCTTAAAGCTGACAAATATATAGAGTAGACGTCTGCATGAATACAGTCAAAGCAGCATATGGTACTCTCACTCAAAGTTCTGACTGAATGAGTGAGATATTGAGTAAAACGGATTTGGCAAATGTGGCAAAGGCATGAGTAAAATATTTACTATAACCGAACGGCGAGGCAATGCACGAATGAGTACTCGCGACCGAGTACTCGAAATAACGGAAACGGAAATTTATTGCGTGTTTGTTTTTTCGTTTTCGTTTTGCTTTTGAATGCAAGACATAGAAAAATAGAAAGACATGAAATAATTTTTATGTATAAGTATATATTTTATTTATTTTAATTTTCAATAACAGAATGGAGAAACATTATTTGGTTTACTGTATTAGAATTGTTAGCAATAATTTAAGTTTGAAGTGCTTCCAGTAAATTTATACACACTGTAGCACTTTTTGCAGGCAACTACACCAGATATGTCCTCTCCATCCTTTTCTTTTATATTGGCGAATATTTCCCAAACTTTACTACGTCCCTTTTTAAGGTTGAAAATATACTCTCCATTTAAAAGTTTGGATTTTTGCGTAGATACGGCTGCATCCGAAAGCTATAAACGAAACATGCAGCCAATAATTATAAATTCTAAATATACCAACATAGAAGCTTCATACACTTACGTGATTACAAAGTTTGTTTGTAATACAAACACATGGAAAAGACTGCACGTGGTAGACTAAACATTTTGTTAAAGGAGACAAACACTTCAATTGAGCTAATTATATTATTAATTTGTTATTCTATTTACACATATATTATTTTTTTTACAATTTACAATTACTAAAGTACTTACGATTTCGTCCGAGCTCTGGATTTTTATTATTATAAAATTTCTGCTCTGCTGCGTCTGCTCTGCATGCCATGAATGAAGAGAATGCCAAAATTTTATGCGAGTACTCTACACATTTACTCTGCATCCACTCATTCTATCCATTCCGCTTTGGTTTAATTTTCACTCATTCCACATACAACAAAAACAACGCTAGCCAATGCGCAATTAACTCTGTTGAAACCGTTTCGGCGCGCCGAAGTGCGACTTAAGCTTGTGAGTACTCAATTAACCGAAAATTTTGAGTGCACTCGTGCAGACGTCTAATATAGACGTTTGCTCATCGTTTGCTTCTATTTTTCCAAATTTTAATAATATATCCGTATTTATAATCAATAAAAGTTTATATGTAAAAGTTGTAAACGGTAGCTAGTTCGAGCGGCGATTTTATGTAACAAATATTAAAATAACTTCATAAAAAAAATAAGTCACGGCATCAATTTTTTAATAATATTTTATGAGATCATATTACAACGAAATTGACCAAGACTATAGTCAAATTCGTTTCTACGCACACAATTTTACGCGAGCGGGCAGAGAGCAATTATTGCCGCCACCAAAAAAGTGGCTGCATAGTGCAAAACCAATGTATGGCCGTTACGCATCTTATTATTCTAGTGTCTTTGGTAGAAGGGTATACTAGATTCGTTTAAAAGGTAGAAATAATCGTTACGGACCAAGTAAAGTATATATGATGAAGTACCTAAATACTTCATTTAAAAAAATTTAATTTTATAATTATATTATTTGTGTAAAACTTATATTTTCTGTCTTTTTATTTATTCACTTCTGTTGGCTTCGCACTTCCTCGACCGTGCACGGTCGTTAATAATCTATCGAGTGCATCGATAGTTACAGTGTAACCTTATCTTTAACTTATTTACAATATTTACATTATTTACATTGGGCCGACCTGGCTATAGATCGACCACGATCTTTATAAACAAAGGGCAAACAAAGTTCTTTAACATTACTTATCCAAGGCTTAAGTCTAGCAGGTTCTAACACACCTCTAAATGGCAGTTGAGTTAACTGGCAATAATCATATCAACTACTTCGTATCGATCATTATTAAACAGACGACTTATCCTATAAGGCCCACGGTACTTAGGGGCAAACTTCTTATTAATTCCTGCACTAGTATCAACATTTCTTATAGGCACATAATAACCTACTTTATATTCACGAGGAGATCTATGTTTTCTACTATATGACTCATCATTTCTTATCTTTGAATTTTGAATATTAACCGATGCGTTCTCACGGATGCTTACAAGATCTCTAGGTTCATCATTGAATTTATTCTCTAAGTACTCAGACAGCTCATCAACTACAGGTCCCTTTTGTAGTACTCCCAACAATAAAACACTAGGCGCTACTTGAGTGCTACAATGTACTGCGTTATTATATTCCACTTTATTAAGTAATTTGTACCAATCGGTCTGACTAAGAGATTCTGCTAATTTCCCTAGCATTGGCGTTAACACTCGGTTTACAAGCTCCAGCTGGCCATTAGCCTGAGGCGCTCCTGTGGCTACTTTTATGTGCTCAATGTCACGCTCTTGGCAAAAGGTGGTGAACTCAAGTGACGTAAAACAAGTACCGCGATCCGAAATAATCCTATGGGGTCAACTATAAAAATCAAAGTATTTACTCAACGCATCTCTCGCTTCTCTTGTACTAGTCGTATTAACGGGAAAAAGTTTGACAAACTTGGTAAAAGCATCTATAACAACCCGGAGATGCTCTCTCTTTGAAATGATACTCGGTAAGGGACCTAAATGGTCTATATGGAGTGTATTAAACGGACTACAAGGTTTAGGAATACTATGCAAGGTTCTATTATGAATAGATCTCGGCAACGAATGCAAAATGCACGAAAGGCAATTTCTAGTAATATGCTCAACTTTAGTTCTCATTTCTGGAAACCAATAGGTCCTTCTCAAATCCTTAGCACACTTATCTGCTGCCAAGTAACCTAGTTTTTAGTGAGATTTTCTAATTAGCTGTTCTACCATACAAGCAGGTGCATACAAACAATAAGAATCATCCACGTTCTTTCGACATACTAGTCCACCCCTTAACTCAAAGTTAAGTTTCTCTCTCAAATGAACTATATTTTTATCCCCCATTTGCTCCGTTTGTAGAATTAGGTCTACGTCATCAGGTGTTGTTCCTACAACTCCAACTAACGGTATTGATTTTAGGAAAGCGTCCTCACGAAACTTTAATTTATCAACTCCCAACGCCTTTTTACTACCGTTCATGTAATTACTAGCAGCTTTCTCACAATTTATTCCACCATTCTCTTCCTCTTCTTCTTCACTAAGGTTTTCTTCCAACATAACACGAAGTCTCTTTAAGGGATCTTCACAAAGGTCATCAAGTGGGACTCTATCAACAAGGGTGTGTCTACGGATTTTTAAAAGGCTTTGAATAATGATATCTCCATGTCTCTAAGGTTTTCGAAAAGTTTGTGGAGGTAATAGGAAAATCAAAAATCAATCACAGAAAAACAACATTTCCCTTCCAAATACTCCAGGCAATCTTCAATAAGGGGCAAAGGAAAATTATCTTTAACGATACGCTTGTTTAAACCACGGTAGTCAACGCACATTCGAATTTCACCAGACTTTTTCTTCACAAGGACCAAATGTGAGGCGCTACGACGTATTACTTTTTTCTTAAGCAAATCGTCAATGATTTCCGCTACTTTCTCCCTCTCAAAATAAGACAAACGTCTCGGAGAACAGGAAAACGGAGTGGTATCGGTTAATCTAATAGACATCCGATATCTAGGTGCACTGTTATAATCGTATTGGATACTAAAATAATGAGATTGAATAATTTGTTCACACCTATTTGCAATTTCCAACCCAAACTCAGTGCCTATCTCAAATGAATCCTCTAATGATGGCCAAAAATCTCTGGGCATCACTGTCAGCATCCAAAATTTCTACAGAATTTTCATTATCTAAACCAGAGTTTTGATTATGACTTAAATTTATGGGTTTATGAATAGCTGTACTTAAATTGCGTCTCGACCAATTAATACAGGGAGTGGTAATATTTTGTCATCAACAATATTTAATAGGATAGAATATGTTTTCGCATAAAATTTAACAGAGGCTTTCAAAATGTCCCAAATCTTTGAACTCAAAACAATATTTTTCGGAATAAATGACTTTCGAATAAAGCTTACCGAGCTGCCGGTATCAAATAGACTTAAAATAGTAATGTATTTTCCCTTTTCACCTCGCAAGCCTCAGATTTCTATTTGTTGAATCGCTCCCAAGTTATCTGATTCAGACTCCTCCTCATCCTGCAGAACTGCCGGCCTGGTTGACGCCCTGCGCTCGGGCCATTGCTGGTACTTATGATCCACGCTAAAGCACTTAAAACAGGCCCCCTCCGGCCTCTTCGGTTGTTTGCACTCTCTAGCCATGTGACCCATTTGCCTACAATTGTAGCAACGAATGGTTTCGGGCATGGACACACGGACTTGGGGCTTCACCACTTTAGTTTTCTCCGCTTACTTTGAAATTTGGGCCGTTATCTTCTTAAATTTGTCGTAGATCATTTCGCAACTCCTTCAAGAACTACAATAAGCCATTGCAGACGGATCTCCGGATTCATCTCCCAAGACTTTTACGATGAATCGAATAATATCTTCTGGTGCCAACTCTACTTGTCGCGCAATACCGGACATGGAGAAAAAATACTGGAGAGCACCCTCGTCAGGAAACTTCTTCCTGGCATCCAGTTGCTTGAACACATCGAATGCAGTAATCTTGAGGTCAAAAACGGCAATCAGCTCTGCTCGCAAACTCGGCCAATCCAAAGCTGCCGTTTCATTCATGAACACTCTTGCTGATCCAGCCAGTAAACATTTGGCGAAGATAAAACGTTTTTTCTCCGGCACGCAATATATATCCATTATATTCGAAAAGTCGTCGATCCAACGCAGCACAGGGTATCCATTGTCTCTAGAAAACGATTGAATTAGGGCATCCAAATCACTCATATAGATGTTGTCTTCTTGAGCTGATTTATTTTGTCCCAACTCATTTTCTAAATCAGCCACTCGTTTGCGCGCAGCGTACAGCCTCTCAACTTCCTGTAGATATTGTATTTCTGCCTCGACATTTGCCATTATTCGATCACGTAGCTGCACGTTCGCAGCCGCTACATCAGAACTTTCCAGAATTTCATCATACGCCGCCACTCGATCACGACGCTGCACGTTCGCAGCTGCACTACCAGGAACTTCTCCAGACGCCGCCACTTCGTCACTGCTCGCCAACATAATATCGCCGTCTCTTTCTTTCTCATGTTCAATTTCGCAAATAACACCAGCGTCGTAGCCCGATCTCGAAATATCGGCTACTTTGAGCTCAAAGAAGCTGGGTTCGGAAAAATGGAATTTTTGAAATTTGAAAGGTGGAATCGTTTGCCCATCGTTTGCCCATGTTTGCCCACCAATTAGTTTTTTTTGCCCACGTCCAGTTTTGAAGATATGAAATTTCGAAAATTTTCGAAAATTTTCGAAAATCAAAAAGTTGACTTTTTTGAACTTTTTTTTTTTTAAATCGCAATAACTTCGTTTGCCCACGTTTGCCCACCCTTTAGAATTTTGAAAAAACTTTTAGTTTAGAAAATATAAGGCCTTAAAGAATTATGCATTTTCCACCTACTAAGACTAAATATTTTCAAAAAAAATCTTTTGCCCACCCTTTAAAAATGGTTCTAAACGTTTGCCCACCCTTTAGAATTTTGAAAAAACTTTTAGTTTAGAAAATATAAGCCCTTAAGAATTAAGAATTTTTCATACCTCAAAACTAATTATTTTCAATCAAAATCGTTTGCCCACCCTTTAAAAATGCTTTTTATCGTTTGCCCACCCTTTAAAAATTGTTTTTTTCGTTTGCCCACCTTTAAAAAAAAATATTTTCGTTTGCCCACCTCTTAAAACTAAATATTTTCAAACAAAATCGTTTGCCCACCCTTTAAAAACGCTTTTTATCGTTTGCCCACCCTTTAAAAATTGTTTTTTTTCGTTTGCCCACCTTTAAAAAAAAATATTTTCGTTTGCCCACCTCTTAAAACTAAATATTTTCAAACAAAATCGTTTGCCCACCCTTTAAAAATGCTTTTTATCGTTTGCCCACCCTTTAAAAATTGTTTTTTTTCGTTTGCCCACCTTTAAAAAAAAATAT